TGTATACAATTCAGAGTTAAATAAACACTTTTGCCAGTCTGTTCCGAAAAAAAGCAGTTCCTCATTTCTGCATACCTATTTCTCCTCCCATAGAGGAACGACTTTCACCTTTTAGCTGATTATTTTAGTATTTACCTCCATGTCTTTATAAATATGCATTATTGCTACTTCTTGATTTTTCAGTTTTAAGCAATACCCATTGATTCACCAGTATAGACTAAGAAGACCTAGTTCTCTCTTTTCTGAACCCAACACACATGTACACTCTTCCCATCTGCTAGTAATTAAATCATAAATTGGTTTAGCTCAATAGTTTTAACATTATTATGACTATGTAAATGCTCTTCACATTTGAACCATGTAGTAAATTATAATTACTTTTTCTTTTCTGTACTATTTTCTGTATTTCCTTAAAGTTAAATGTTCTTTTTTCCCCCCCATTTGCTTGGTTTTCTAGGACTTTTGGCAACTTGTTTTCAGCTTTTTAGATCACAAAATGTCTCGACTCACTAGGTGTTCTATCAATTCATCCTCCTGAAAAAGTCTCTGCTACAGCTGTGTGACACCCTCTCAATGAAACCAGCTGTCTTGTATCCACAAACCTGACGCACAGCTATCACCTTGGGATTTCCATTCACCATTATCCTGGAAGTTACTTTTGCTTCTTGCATGTGCTAGACCTCTCACTTTCTACACTCAAATCTTAGTCTCCCTCCTTGGTTTATGTCTTCATTTTGGTGAAAAATAGTTCATTCTTTAGCACCTTTCTAAGTAATGGTACATGAGATAGGATTTTTGAAGATTCTCTCCTATTTGATTGACACTTTGGTTGAATACAGAATGCTGGATTTGTAATAATTTCCTTTCAGAACTTAAAGTCTTTGTGCCAATGCCTTCCAGTTTCGCTATAGAAAAGTCTAAAGTCTTTACACTATCGATCATTTGTGTGTGACCTGTAAGAGGCCAGAACTGTTAGACAAAATGAGCAAAAGGGAAGAGTGGGGTGGAGAAGGGACAGATCATGTAGGGCTATGTAAATTTTTTTTCACTTTAAGTGTCATGCAGGAGTTCGAGGGAAGGAGAACATTATCTGTTTTATCGAAAATAGATCACTTCAGCTGCTGTAGTGAAAACTAAACTTGCAGAAAGTGGGGCATGGCAAGGGGGTGGAAGCAAGGAGACTCATAAAGAGGCTAATTTAATAATCCAGGCAAAAGCTGATGTAGACTAGAACAGGATGCTACATGGAAAGTGTGAGAAATGTCTGGATTCTAGATATATTTTTAAGGTTGAGTCAAAAGGATTTGTTTCTGCATTAGCTATGAGGCTGAAAGAGTAAAAATTGACACAAAAGGTATTGCCTGAGCAACCAGAATAATGGAGTGAATAGAAGAGACAAGGAAGTTTAAGCCTGGGGGCAAGAAAAGAAGTCTGGTAATGCACATATCATGTGTAAGATGTCTACTAGTTATCTAAATGGAGATGCTGCATCAACACTTGGACATACGAAAGTCTAGAATTCAGGAGCAAGCAGCTTCTTGGCTGCCCTAGCTCTGCAGCACGACTTTGGCTCCCTCTTGTTTTGGCACTTACCCTCCCTTTGATCGTATTCATTTTCCATGCTAGGTTCTCCTAGTCCGTGCTAGTGTGAGCCACGTACTATCCTTTTAATAGGTCTTTTTCTGCTTAACTCAGTCAGAACTTCTATAACCTATAATAAAGAACCTTAACTGATATCATTACTAAATTAGGAAAAGAATTTAGTTTTAAATTGTGAATGAACAGAACTTTATTAAAATGGAAAGGAAACAATGGTAAAATCTTAACTGCTCCTAAGCTGAAAATATCCCTTGGCAAAGCCCACTTATTTCCACAGAATAGGCAAAACTAAACTGCAGTCCAGTACACAATTAATAATCTAACCATAAATAATCATTAAAATCTCTAAGTGTTCCCAGGTTTTTACTTGCTATTAGCACCTTAAATTCTCAGAATTTGATAATACTCTAACCTACAAGAAAATCCAATTTGGTTATACAAAGGAAAAAGTAACAAAAATTCCAAATTAGAACCTAAAATTAATGAGATGCTACTCTATTGCAAAGATGAGTTCAATGTCTACTTTTAGAAAGATGAGGGTAATAAACCTCTGCTCTGTCATCACCAATATATACCCATGAGTTTTCTGAACAGGCAGACATCTAAATTCTGGTAGTTACAACTAATACAAAAAAATTATACCATCAGATAAACTGCTTTTAAATATAGACTGGGGGGTTAGACTTCCACAGAGTAGTTAAGATAAAGGTACTAAAAACAGGTCCTCTGAAGTGTAAGAGTAGAAGATAACGAAAGCATGAGAGGTATAAAAGCCTAGTACAGTATGAAAGAGTGCTGACAATGTTTAAATGAAAAAAAAAAAAGATTCTTTTTGTTAAATAACCCTTTTCCTGAGTATATCATAGAAGATACAGAAAACTATAAAAAAAAAAAAAACCCTCTCACCTTATATTCTACAATCCAGAGATAAACACTGTTAACACTGACATATTTTCTTCAAGGCTTTTTTTCCTATGCACATGTATATATACGGTGTGTGTGGGTACAGAAAAGCAAGATGATGCTAAATGTCATTTCTAGATGTTGCCTTTATTCATTTCACATATGAATTTCCCTTCTGTTATGATGTAATCTTCAAAGACATTCTTTTAAGCCTCTGTATAAGATTCCACCACATGAGCAAACCATGATATAACCACTACTGGCAGACATTTAGGTTGTTTATAACTTTCACTACTAGAAATAATGCTATAGTAAACAGTATTACACATTTCTGAATTTAGAGAACTTAGAGACCTCATGGCTGAACTTCTGAAGTTAGAGACATTATTTCTGAATTTCTGACGTTAGAGACATTGTTTCAAAAGATACTCTTTCAGTTTAGAAAGTACTTAATATCGATAAGGTAGGTATGGCCCCCAAATGCTGCTTGAATTGGAGTTTAAATAAAAGAAGAAATAAAAACTATAAAGCACAATTCAAATCAAACAAATGTCTATCAAGCCTAATTAGCAAGTTTCCTCATTGAAATCAAGTGAGTTTCTCCTCCCTTCTGGAATCTTCAATACTGCTATCAGCAATTTATACACTAGCAGATCACCCATCCAGGATCACCCATCAGTAATTTACATCATGTGAAAATATCCAGCATAGACTAAAAAATGTACACTGTACACTTTTAAAGGTTTGTAAAATCTAAAACCTATTTTCACATAAAGTACTTCACACTAGGATTGCTATCAATAATGTCCCATCAGGTATGAATGTGCTCATTAAAAACAAAACAAAACAAAGCTAAACATGAGTTTTCCTGACAACCTACTGAAGAGAAAAAAAATGTACAGGGGATCATAAAGAGTAGGGCTTAGTTTTAGTCATCTCTAAAAAAAAAAGCAGCAGAGCTAAGAGAAAAAAGCATAATAGATACTATTAAAATAAAATAAAATAAAAATAAAAAGATGACACTAAGAAAAAAAGAGGTAGTAACTCTTATTAAAAACTGATCTCCTGGGGCGCCTGGGTGGCTCAGTCGGTTAAGCAGCCGACTTCGGCTCAGGTCATGATCTCGCGGTCCGCGAGTTCGAGCCCCGCGTCGGGCTCTGTGCTGACAGATCAGAGCCTGGAGCCTGTTTCAGATTCTGTGTCTCCCTCTCTCTGACCCTCCCCTGTTCATGCTCTCTCTCTGTCTCAAAAATAAACGTTAAAAAAAATTTTTTTTTTTTAAAAAAAGAAAAACTGATCTCCTGGGAAAATTTACCAGTTAAATTACAAGTCTATTTTTTGTGCCTAGCCTCACATTTGAAAAAAAAATTTTTGCCTTACCCTGAAATTTAGACATAAAAGCTATCAGCTATTTAACATCATAAATCAGAGAAAATATTTTAAATATTCTCTCCTTAGACTCATCTATTTTTACATCAAGTTGTCAGAGATATAACATTCCTATTTTATTTCTATAACCACAAGTCTTATTAATTTTATAAGTTCTTATTTTATTGATTTCCCTGTAAGAAATTTTTTAGGATCATAAGTCCTAGCATATGTTGACTCTAAAAGGAGTATCATTCACAAGAAACACACTTCTGATCACGACATACAGACACTGAGTCAGCGGAAAACCTGCTTATTAACCACCAACAACTCAAATATTTGAGCAAATGTTTGTTCCTGCCTTTATTACCTGGTCTATGATAATATACCTCTTTACAAGAGCTTTCTAGAACAACAAAATGTTATGTCTAACATAATAATAATACAATATACTTATTGTTAATAGTCAAATTTCTTCTTTTGTACATAAAAAAGGTATAAAGTCCTGTATTTAATACATAAAGACTCCTGTATTTAAGATTATAAGACTAGGAGAGTCTTAAAAACTTTACAAATTCAAATCTCACAACAATCAATTCAATGAGACTATCTAAAGCATGTTGTTCAGAAACCTGCCTCTGTCAAATAATTGATTTGGACTTGGAAATGCTTTATATAGAAATTTTTATTGTCATGCCATTTATTGGAGTAGGATTTGAACCATGTCACAATAGGAACTATAACTTCATAGCAGTTTATCAGGTAAACAGCTCCATATAGCTGAAGACTATATATTTGTTAATATAGAACAGAAAAGGCTACACACAAATGTGTCATCTTCCCGTGATGGTGATTTCACCAAAAGAAATCTACCATAAATAAAAGGTAGCAATCTGTTTTTTGGGTTTTTTTGTTTTGTTTTGTTTTTATCTCTAATAGAAGAATTGCTGGCAAGCACTTTAACCACTATGACTTAAACCATTGTGGAATTTCAATTATGAAATAATTTTAGTGACCATCAGATGAAAATTCTCTAATAACCAACATTCCCCCCCTGCCCCCCACTCCCCAAAAAACAGGACAGAAGGGATACAGTTCAATTCTGAATAGGACCATCCCACTCATCTCACCAGATTGATCAGCCTTCTCATCGCATGTTCATGAGAGCAAACGCATTCACAGGGATCAAATCCACCTTCTGCCATGATTTCCCAGTTTGATTTAACTTGACTGTTTAAATCTAGGAGGAAGGAAAAAATGTTGTAAGACTACTGTTCAGTTATTCTTTCCCTTAAGCTATGAAAAATTCTTAATATAACAGGTCTCTTAACTAATAGTTCTCTTAAACTAAGGATAGTTCATATTTATTATAAACTATGTAATTTATGAATCCACACAAATGGTTGCCTACCTGTTCTGCCATCAGACTAATTTCCTACAAATGTGAATGTCTTCTGATGTTCTATACTGGGCCCTCCTGTGAAACAGATGATGCTAGAGTCCTACTCTGCTTAATAATTTAATTCTTTGTTAGCTATAGTACTGCTATAGAATAAATGTTTGTGCCCCTGCTAAAATTCATATTGTTACAAAGGAGACAGCAGAAGTGAAATAAATCAGTCAGAGAAGATATCATATGTTTTCACTCATAATTGGGATTTGAGAAACTTAACAGAAGACCATGGTGGGGAAGGGAAGGAAAAAAAAGTTACAAACAGAGAGGAAGGCAAACCATAAGAGACTCAAATACAGAGAACAAACTGAGTGAGGGTTGATGGGGTAAATGAGCGATGGGCATTGAGGGCACTTGCTGGGATGAGCACTTGGTGTTGTATGTGAGTGATGAATCACAGGAATCTACTCCTGAAGCCAAGAGCACACTGTATATTAGCTAACCTGACAATAAATTATATAAAAATAAATAAAAATTTAAAAAAATAAAAAGGAGATACCAGGCAACAAAATGGAGTCACTTGTGCTAAACTCCATGTCAGCAAGCCAAGTCCTAATAACCTATCTAATCGCAGTTTCAACCTCCCCCTACCCCGTCAAGAATGGTAACCTTTAGCCAGTCAACATGGAATTATCTCACTAGTCAGCACTAGTGAGATAATCCATCCACAAACCCCTTCCATTCCCTGTAGGAAGGTGACCTTGCCTAAAACAATGCATTCTTTGCTAATAATTTCCCTTCTCCACCCCCTTTCTGCCTTTAAAAACCTTTCCTTTTATACAGCTTGGTGGAGCTCCTTGCTATTTGTTACATGGGACACTGCTCAACTCATGAATTGTTGAATAAAGCCAAATCTTTACATTTACTCAGTTTAATTTTTGTTACTTAAAGAATGTGGTGAAGGCAGCAGGACTAAAGGAGACTTCTGACATCTTTGGGGACAACAAGAAACATAGGTGTGGTACCCCATGAAATATTCGAGTTTACTTTCTTTCTAGACATTTCTGAGGGCCATCACGGAGTTCTTGTCAGTTCTGAGCTCTGTACTCTTTGCTGAGCTCTTAAGCTAACTGGCTTTCCAGTCCGGTCAGCTTGAGCTGGCACACAGTTCCATCTGAAACCTGAGTCCCTACCTCTTGGCTCAGTCCACAATGTTTGGAATACCCTTCCAGTTCTAGTCTATAGTCTCCACTTACTGGGATTTGGTGGTTTAGTCTTTTCCCCAGTTCCAATCCACAGTCCCCATTTTACTGGAGTCTGCTGGTTTAATCCATGCTAGGAATCAGTGATGGTACGTAAAGCCTTCTCTTGGCCAGTCTACAGTAACATGTTATGGTTGCTGCTGCTATGTTAGGGTGCACATGTTTGTCTTATTTTGTATAGATAAGGGCTATAACTAACAGGAATCACATAAAAAAAAAGCCACAAAAATTGGTGGTGGGCACTGGCACAATACTTCAGAGCTGTTAGTGTATTCATTACCTAACTCAAAGACTCTGACATCAAGTTGGTCACAGAACAGGTTAGGCTGACTCTAGGTCACCTGCCAAACTCAAGAAAACTTCTGTGCAATGATGTATACCGTACAATTCCCAACCCAGAGGCACATCCCTTTTAGGTATTAGTTCAGCTCTGAGAAACCTAAACTTGGCTTATGGGATCCTTAAACTCTAAACAGTCAAGCATATTTCCTTCCGGCACCTGTGCTTATTTTATGCCTAAGAACTATGGTCCAGAAGACACAAATATTAATAGAAATGGCAAAATTTTGCGAAGATTTTTTGTGTCCTGAGAACTTGGCTTGGTAACCATCAGATTGGCAGCCCCAAAATATGGCCAGACATAAATGTGGGTTACACCCCATTTGTGACTAGATATGGCTGCACAGAAAAGGCGAGTTAAATTCTAATTGTGGCTAGGGTCCTACCAAACTGCTACCAGTCGTCAGAGGAATTACAACCTAGAATTACAATGGCCATTATGAGAAATGTTCCAATTAGATAAGAGCATTTAACAAGTGCCCTTAAAAGCAAGGGCTTCCAAATCAAACAGAATGGGATACTATTTTAATTGGTATGCAGGAGACTCCAAAAGGCTTCAAAATTCCAAACTAGCTTCATTAAAAGATTTGTTATAAAAGGCTAGTGAAAAATTAAAGATGTAAAAAGTACTTAAAAGCAAAAAAACTGATATAACTCTTACTGTTTTCCTCTATCCTCCTTTATTTGAATATTCATTCTAGTACTCCTCTGAGTTGCCTTTATGGACCATAAACAAAAGTCTGCCAAGTTAATGACCTTTCAGTCATTCCCATACCTGACCTCAAAGGAGGGCTCCTCTCAAATGGGACTCTAAGAGATTTTCTGGCAAAATGCTACATTATTCTCTTAAATAGCCAAAGAAAAACTAACATTAAAAATAAAAAATCTTGCCAAATTCTGGTAAAAAACGGAACTACAGATGGGATCCTGGAAAAACTGGAAGAAGCTGGCTAAGGATGAACATTCTTATTAGAGTCAGCACTCAGATCTGTCTGTAGTACCCAATAAAGAAAGGAAAATAAGTTACCTTTTGCACTTTCGTTGGGAATCCCTCCCATATATCCAAGGGGGAGTTACTCAATATGGCAAGAAATGTTTGCTGTTTGTCCCAGATGAAAACTGACAAGACACCTAAAAGAATTTTTAAGTAGCTCTGTGACTGGAAATAGGCTAGATTGAAAGCTGACATACAGAGCCTGTTAAGAATGTTTTTTTAGGCCTCCTCCCCTAAGCTAAAATAAAATTAGGTACCCAGAAGGAAAGGAAAAATCTTTTAAAGTCTTTGTAAAAGTCTTTACTAAAAAAAAAAAAAAAAAAAAAAAAATGTGTAATTAGATGGGTGGATCAACCTATGATGTCACTCGAATTGCAACCTCATTCTTTGAGGAATTGAAAGCAATTGTCTACATCTTCTTACATATCTTAGCAAAATTAGAAATGCAGCTCTACAGGCAATTCAATGTTCACCTATTCCTTTTACTAATTCTAAAACCTCCTTGTTTAGCTCCTATATATTTATTTATCTCTTATTTACCAAAGTCCTCAGGGGAACCTGAATTCTTCTGCCATGCCTTTAAGGTGTAAATATAGGGGCGCCTGGGTGGCTCAGTAGGTTAAGCATCCGACTTCCGGTCAGGTCATAATCTCAAGGTTTGTGGGCTCAAGTCCTGCATCAGGCTCTGTGCTGACAGCTTGGAACCTGGAGCCTGTCTTGGATTTTATGTCTCCCTCTCTCTCTGCCCTTCCCCCACTCATACTCTATCTCTCTCAAAAACAAACATTAAAAATTCTTTTTCAAAGATGTAAATGTACATACATTTTTAAATAAGAACTGTCTGTTTAAAGACAGTTTTTATTTTTATTTTACTTTGAGAGAGAGACCATGTGGGCAAGTAGGGAAGAGGGAGAGGGAAAGAGAGAATCCCAAGCAGGTTCTGCACTGTTAGCACAAAGCCCCCAATGTAGAGCTTACTTTAAAAAACAAAAACAAAAACAAAAACAAAACACAGGGGTGCCTGGGTGACTCAGTTGGTTAAGCGTTGGACTCAATTTCAGCTTAGGGCATGATCCCATGGTTGGTGGGTTTGAGCCCAGCATCAGGCTCTGTGCTGACAATGCAGAACATGCTTGGGATTCTCTCCCTCTCTGCCCCTCGCCTGTTAGAGCTCTCTCTCTCAAAAATAAAAACATTAAAAAATTAAAAAAACAAAAACAAAAAACAGCTCTGTTTAACTGGCTTAAAAATAAGTGCTTATGGGGGCGCCTGGGTGGCTCAGTCAGTTAAGTGTCTGACTCGGTTTCAGCTCAGGTCACGATCTCACAGCTTTGTGGGTTCAAGCCCCACATTGGGCTCAGTGCTGGCAATACAGAGCCTGCTTGGGATTCTCTCTCTCCCTCTCTAGCTGCCCTTCCCCCACTCGTGCTGTCTCTGTCTCTCTCAAAATAAATAAATAAAATAAACAAAAAAAAATTTTAAAAAGTAAGTGCTTATGAAGTACTTGTAAATCTCAGAAATATAATAGAAGTGAACCCAAGTGTTTTTCAAGTTCACATGATCTAGGTCAATTTTCAGTATAAAAGCTAGTTAAAGTGTGTTGGTTTAATTTAAAGCAGACATGTCCTTAGAGTTATCAGGCTAAATACAAACTTTTACTCTGCCTGAGTTTACTAGTCAAATAAGTTCATTTTATCTCTCACAAAATTTGTCAGCTAAAAAAACATCTTGGGGCAATGGCTGGTCTTGTCTAAGGTCTAATGGCTTTTGTGGGTAATCTAAACATAATGGTTAAAAACAATCAAATAGATGCTAAATAGAATAAAAAGTTTTAGGTAAATTTTAGTTTCTCCCAAATCTTTTGGTAACCTGAAACCTTAAAATTTTATTAAGTTAGATGATAATTTAAGTTAAATTCATTAAATATCCAGATCATTTCCAAATAAGATAAAATACTGAAACACTAATTACTGAACATAGGTTTATCAATTTTTTGGTTTCATTTTACAGAGGAACTAAAGACATTTGGGGAAAGCATGTTTCTAGAAATTATAAAAGTACTTATTAAAAAAAAATTTTTTTATAGAGAGGGAACGTGCACACACACACACACATACACACACGTGTGCCCAAGTGAGGGAAGGGCAAGGGGCAAAGGAGCAACAGAATTTCAAGCAGGCTCTGCACCCAGTGCAGAGCCCAATGCTGGGTTTGATCTCACAACCATGAGATCATCACCTGAGCCAAAATGA